CACACGGTGGTGCTGCAGCTGGCCGAGGTGGGAACTGGGATAGACTGGGATTGAACTGGGATAAACTGGGATTGGGAATGGAGCACACGGTGGTGCTGCAGCTGGCTGAGGTGGGGATCAAACTGGGATAGACTGGGATAAACTGGGATAGACTGGGATAAACTGGGCATGGACCACACGGTGGTGCTGCAGCTGGCTGAGGTGGGGAAACTGGGATAAACTGGGATAAACTGGGATAAACTGGGATTGAACTGGGATAAACTGGGATTGAACTGGGAATGGGCCACACGGTGGTGCTGCAGCTGGCTGAGGTGGGGACTGGGATAAACTGGGATAGACTGGGATAGACTGGGATAAACTGGGCATGGACCACACGGTGGTGCTGCAGCTGGCCGAGGTGGGAATGAACTGGGAATACTGGGATAAACTGGGATAGACTGGGAATGGGAATGGGCCACACGGTGGTGCTGCAGCTGGCCGAGGTGGGAATGAACTGGGAATACTGGGATAGACTGGGATAAACTGGGATTGAACTGGGATTGAACTGGGATTGAACTGGGCATGGACCACACGGTGGTGCTGCAGCTGGCCGAGGTGGGAAACTGGGAATACTGGGATAGACTGGGATAAACTGGGATTGAACTGGGAATGGGCCACACGGTGGTGCTGCAGCTGGCCGAGGTGGGATAAACAATACTGGGATAAACTGGGATAGACTGGGATAAACTGGGCATGGAGCACACGGTGGTGCTGCAGCTGGCGGAGGTGGGGACTGGGATAGACTGGGATAAACTGGGATAGACTGGGATAGACTGGGATTGAACTGGGATAAACTGGGATTGAACTGGGCATGGAGCACACGGTGGTGCTGCAGCTGGCCGAGGTGGGAAACTGGGAATACTGGGATTGAACTGGGATTGAACTGGGATTGAACTGGGAATGGAGCACACGGTGGTGCTGCAGCTGGCGGAGGTGGGAAACTGGGATAAACTGGGATTGAACTGGGATCAACTGGGAATGGACCACACGGTGGTGCTGCAGCTGGCTGAGGTGGGAAACTGGGAATACTGGGATAAACTGGGATAAACTGGGAATGGGCCACACGGTGGTGCTGCAGCTGGCTGAGGTGGGAATGAACTGGGAATACTGGGATTGACTGGGATAAACTGGGATTGAACTGGGATAGACTGGGCATGGACCACACGGTGGTGCTGCAGCTGGCCGAGGTGGGGACTGGGATAAACTGGGATAGACTGGGATAAACTGGGATTGAACTGGGATAAACTGGGAATGGGATTGGGAATGGCTGGGCGTGGAGCACACGGTGGTGCTGGATTCAAGCCCAGAGGGATTTTCCCTGATTTTCCCTGATTTTCCCGTTTTTCCCCCAGAAAAAGGGATTTGTGACAGTCAGCGAGATCCGGGACAGCCTCAAGTGGGAGACGGAGAGGGCGAAGCAGGTGCTGGTAGGTGGCACTGGGAACACTGGGAGCACTGGGAACACTGGGAATGGCAACTGGGAACACTGGGAAAATGGGAACATGGGAAAATGGGAACAGGAACGGCAACTCAGCGCATCCCAGTCCATCCCAGTCCATTCCCAATCCCATTTTCCCCATTTTTTTCCCCGTTTTTCCCTGCAGGATCACCTTCTGAAGGAGGGCATGGCCTGGCTGGTTCCCAGTGCCATTATTCCCATTTTTCCCATTTTTTCCCCATTT